TGAAACCCATTTTGGACCTTTACCGGGTTGATTCTGCCTCTGGTTTTGGGGGGTTTGGTTTTGTTTCGGGGAAGGAGAGGGGGGCACAGTTGTATGGCCTACAATTCTTTCCTATTGTTGTAGGAAGTAGGTATTTCTGGGTTTCCTTCAAGGAGTCAAAACTTCTGCATTTTCTTTCGGATTTTCCATGTCTGGGATTTTTTTATGCAGCTCTGCTGACAGATGCTCATTTTGAGATATGGAGTTAGGTGCAGACCTATCTTGTAAAGAGATACGTTTACTGATCGTTTGTTTAGCAACTCTTCACCCATTAGCGAGATTTCAACTGTAGTGTTGCCTACCTGAGCTTCTCGAATTTCTTTGTGTTTAGTTCTGTTATTGCTGAATGACAGACACATGTTTAGCGGTGTATGACAGAATGAACACTTGGCAGTTTCTGAGAGTGCGTGAGAAGCAGCATGATGAAGTTTGGTCTAGAAGCTTTTATGAAATTGTGTTAATAAGTGAAATCATAGTGATCTTCTAATTGCTACCCTCTTCGTTTCATAATTTACTTTTAAGTAATTCGGAGTCTAAAGCAGAGAGTGTAAAACTACTGGTTTCGTTAACTTACGAGGTATACGTAGTAGGCAACTTTTTATCTTCCTTGAGCAAAGTTTTTCTTCATCTTCTTCCCTTTTCACAGACAGGTCATGAAAACTAATTTGCATTTTGGGGACTGGTCATAGATATATTGTGCATAACAGAGTTAATGTCCAGTTGAAAATGAGGCAAAATTATTTCTCAGTTTTACAGTGAATTGGCTTCAATCAGTGTAATTTCATATCTGTGGTCATGCAAAGTGATATTTGATACAAAACCTGAAATTGTGTTCTTGCATCAAGAACCTTATAGTCCCCTATGACTTCCTAGTTCAGTGAAAGTGAGAGACAATAGAAATTAGAAGTTTCATACTGCCAGACTTGCTTCTGTCTAAGTAATTTATTTATTTCTTTTTCAGTGATTCTCCTTTGCCTGTTTCATCGCGTGTCTGTTTTGTAAAGTTCCATGATCCTGACTCCGCAGTTGTGGCCCAGCATCTGACAAACACTGTATTCGTTGACAGAGCGTTGATAGTCGTACCATATGCAGAAGGTTTGTGAATTATTTAATGGCTTATGAAGCCACCATATGATGGCATTTTATTCCAGTATAGCTCACAAAAATGAGGATTAGTAAAATGTCAAACATGTAAAATATTAACATTTTGAAACCCTTGGTATATTGCCATTGGCCCAATGGATTAAAGAATTCTTTTGATCTAGTGATATTGAATGAAAGTGGGAAGTTTATCTCTTATTGGTTTTGTCTGTCTTTTAAGTTGAGAATATTAACATTTTAGGCAGAATTATTTGCAAATTTTGCTCTTTATCAGTCTCAGTGAGACATTTTCCTGAACAGACTTATGCAAACAGGTTAACATTTTAAGGACCTTTTGCCCTAATAATTAAGCGTTTGCTACTTTCATGTAGGTGTAAATCTCTTCATGAGAATGGTTTCTCCCTCCCTGAGAGTGCATGGGAGAGTAGATTAACATTTCTTTGAGATACGCTGCTGCTGCATTTAGTTGGGAACTTCCCTGAAAAGGCACTCACTCTCGTGAAGTCCAGTATACCAAGGGTTTGAATAATTATGGTTTAATTTGAAAGTGAGATCTTCCAAGAGGTGCCAAATGGGCACTGGTACTAGTTTTTTATTCCAAGTTTTCTTGTTCATCCTTGATATATTTTATAGAATTTCACTAAATAATAAACTCTTCTCTCTGTTATTTGTGTGTGTGATTTTTGTAGTGGAGAAGGCAAATGCAAAGCCCTTCCAGATGACTGAAAAACAGTGGGTCCTCTGCAGCTACAGGGGATTCTAGACATTAACTAAAGGCCAGCAAGCACTCAAGTCCCCAAGTGTTTTCCTGGTGTAACCACTTGTTAACTACATTTTCTCTTCTTCTTTTTATTTTTACATTTTAGGGTGTTACAGTAATTTGAAAGGCAATGAGCAGGGTTTTTGGAACTTACCTTAAAAACAAAGTGCTGAGAAGACACCTCTTCTTACAGAAGTCTTATTAAACTCTTCTAGACTTGCTTTAGAAGTAATTAATTTCCGTTGTACTGTCTCTTGATTTACTTCTGAAATAATGGATTTTCCCAGATCGCTTGAATTAAATAAAACCTCTGCAGATTAAGTCATACTACAGTAATAAATTTGGTACATGGCCTGGGTTCAGACCTATAATCAAGACATTGTAATGCTATAGGCTGTCTTTTGAGGCCTGGGGAGCTGTCTTATCTTTGTATTCTGTAGACTTAAAAGATATGAAAACTTAATTTCTGGAATATAGGAATCTGCAGCATGACCTTTGATTGAGACATGCTGCTTTTTGAGAGAGTACAGAACATGTTCTGAAACTGCCGTTGAGTTACTGCTTCTGCTTTCAATAGTTTACATATAATAGCATAGTCGAAAGGCGTCTTGTCCTTGTCTTTGTATTAAAGCATGATATAGCAACAGTCCATCTGAGTTAGTGCTGAAATATTCTCCCAAGGCCCATGGTGAAGAACGTTAGAGTTTAACTTTTCCAATAAGGATAAAACCATTTTTCTCTTTGTCAGTCTGACTTTGTCCATTGTGCTTGATGGTGGATGAATCTGGCACATAGAGAAATCTGCCCAGTAGTTTTGGTTCAGATTGTGTAAAGAAAATAAAATTAATAAAGTAGAATATTTTAATGGGCCTGCTTAAATCAAGGAGTTCCTCATGGGCTGTTTCTTGTGTTCTAGTGGTCAGAATGTTGATGGTTGTGGCATAATGATGTGACATATCACAAGAGATATGTTCAGCCAATAAAGTTATGCCCCCTGATTTTGTAATCATATGCTTTTGTCCCTGTACTGGAGCATAGTTTGCCCTGCAAATGCATACTGCCAGGGTCCCAATTCAACAAGCTATTTAAGCACGATACAGCAAGATTCTTAAAACTGCAGTGAAATTGCTCATGTGCTTAAAGCCAGGCATATGCTTAACTACTGTGCTGAACTGGGCCCTTTTATCTTTTATTTTCTATTGTGATAATATTGTATTAATATTGCCTGTCACTAAAGTAAATGTTTATTATCTGTTTAGTGCAATAATTATCCCCTATATCACAAGCGCACTCCAGTTTTAGCATACACAGACATTTTGGTGTTGGCTGTTGCTTTGTGTTATAGAACTATACACAAAGTCTACGGTAAGGTTTAGTATTTGTAATTTTTCATTGTGATATTCCTAGATTTGGAAGGAACTCTAAGATTAAAGATGGCTGGGGGGGTATTTAGGTTCTTTGGTTAATGTTTGTTTCTTTTGTCTGTTTCTTTTTCTTTCATTTCTACACATTCATGCAGTATTTCATGGTTCTAACAAAGCAGCAGTAAAAAAAACTCTTGAAGCATGAAAATTAACTGGTGAGGGGCCTCATTGCTTTTTTTAAAATTGTAGTTTATTTATTTCTAAATACTTTTTTAAAAAACAATTAGAGGATCAAATGCATGATTTTTTTAATGGATGCAGATCTTCTATGAGGTGTCTCAAGATAAGTCTGAGGATTTGTATTTAGATGCCAGAAATGTTATAGTTGCACTAATTTGAAATGTTTAGATATAATTTATAAATATCCTCTGAGACATAATTTTGCATGCAAAATTACCCCATAATCTCTCTGTAGGTATGTTAATATATTTATGCATTAATGCCCTTTATCTAAATGACCTTTTTCCCCCCCTCTCCCTCCATAACTTTTGGTATCTAAATTGATGACAGCTCAATGACACAAGCAAGATAACAGTGCTGTGTATTATACATTTGTTTATATTATCGGCACTTCTCAGTATAGGTGGAAGGAACCATTACCTTTATTTAACAGTGGTTTTTCTTTTTTGTTGTTGTGTTTTACAGTTCTTTTCCCTGGTTCAGCCTGAACTATATACCAGGCCCTGCTGAAAATACCACCCAACAGTTTTCTTCTGCAGCTTATCCAGTTTCTCTTAAGTGCCCTGTACATATTGTATGTTTTATGATGAGATGCAGTTTCTTAATATGTATTACAGAAACACTACTGGTATTTGCAAATATATAGTAAAATTGTTTTATTGAACTCTCATTTTGGGGGCTTGGGCACATTAACAAATTAATCCATCTGTATAGGGCTTTTGCTGTTGGATAGAATAAAAATACCTACATAATTACTTGTTTCGTAGTAGGACCCTTAAAATTATATGTGCAGAGCAGGCAGTAAAATAAGACGCTTGTCTTAGTTGGCTGCAAGATTTTGGGCCAGAAGTTTCTTCTGAAATGGCAGTATGTAGCAGCATTCTTGGTACAATAAGCATGGCACATATTGGAACAAATGCATTTTACTGCACAGGTAAGGAATGTGCCACAGTATACTGTATGTATGCACCCATTCACCCACAGACACACATACACAGCGTGTATTTGAAGATCTGCAGAGAATTCCATTTTCATTTGACAAGTCAGCAAAAGCCCTACGCTTGATTCAACAAAAAATATTTCCATACCTTCTCTTAAGTTATACAAAATTTATATGGTAGGTGTAAAAGAAAACATAGTGAACTGTACCATATTATTAACCCCTAAATCAAACTTTTTTTGTCTTGTGTATCTTGATTTTTCTGTGTGCTTTATAGTGAAGCAGCCGACACGAGTCGTTGTTCATAAAACAGCTTTTGAAAGTTGAGAGCACACCCCTGGAGAACCGACTGTGCTTGCTTACGTTTGGTTCATGACTTAAAAATCGAGTACAGGTGATGAAATCTTGGCAGTGTTAACAAAAAAGTAGTGTGTATTGTGCTATTTTTTTGCTCTAGAAACTTAACCATTTGTAGAGAAAAAGGAACAGTCAAATTTTCACACATTGAAGTTTCATTCTGACAAAAAAGTTAATGATAAATATTAATAGACATCAAGCTTTGTATTTTAGCCAACATAAGTACTTTCAACAAACTCAGGTGGTGTATCAGGGAGACATTTTCTGGGTGTATTTGTGTATTTTCTGCCTTTGAAATGGAATGCATTCTAATGCAAGTCTGTTTCTCTGCAGGAGTTATTCCTGATGAGACTAAGGCTTTGTCTCTCTTGGCACCAGCTAATGCTGTGGCAGGTCTGCTGCCTGGAGGTGGACTCCTGCCTACTCCCAACCCACTTTCTCAGGTAGGCTTTCCAGTTAGACGGAAGTCAAGGGAAATGATTAGATGTATTCTGTTAGATTCTAACTTAATTTGTGTTGTTTTTTTCAGGACTCATAGACTGACATGCTTATGCCAATTCCTAGAATGTTTTAGTTTCTATACCTTGATAGATTGTTACAGTTACCGGATATGAATAATGGCAAAACAGTGATAAGTTGCTAGATGGGATACTTTTATTTCATGAATATGATGCTTCTGTATCTCAGGGGCCCTGTGTTTATCTCTCTCTCGTCTGTCTTTTATCCATTGTATGCTAACAGACAGATTTAGCGAGCAGTAGGGGTCTCTTAGGTTTTAAATTAATGAAGTTCAAGGAGTTGATGTGCTGTGGAGATACTTTCTGTTAATACTCCAACTGAGGCGAAAAAATTGTACCCTGCGTTCGCTCATTATCTAAAGACACAAGAATCCACGTGGAAGATGAACAGTAAGACTAATACACTGTGGGAAAAGTTTCAAAGCACATCTCTTATTAGAGAACAAAGTACAAGAGGCAAATTAAGAGTAAAGCTTCATTAATTCTGCAGTTCTCAAATTACTTCTTCAGCTTGTGCTCAGCTCTTTGTGTAGCTTCTGTTATGATTTCTGATTCTGTGAAAGATACACTTGCCATTGGGTTGTTCAGGTGGTCTCTTTAACTGTATGTAGAGGGAAAAGGCTGAAGTTTAACTTTGAAACTCGAGGAAAGGGATGGAAGAAACATATGCAGTCTTAAAGATTTCTTTCACCAAAAACTGTATATACATAAATTCCTGAAAATGGTTGTTGAAACACCTTAATTTTAATTCTGTTACTCTGAATCCCAGTCTACTCCCAATCCACTTAATGGTAGAATTTATTTAACACATTCATTTTTATGGAAAATTGTGGTGGGTGGTCATTTTTTTTTAAACACATCCTGAAAGCTTGTTATGTAGCTCCTTTTGACTGTAACTGTGAATTGGATATCTAACTCGGTAAAAATGAATTAGAGCTGTTTATGTTCACAAAATCTGTGTGTGGGAGCGTGGCTTTTTCTTTTGAGACTATACAGTTTCAAGAGATTGGCTAACAGAAAAACTCATGGTCAAAAAATGGAAGGTTCTGCTCCCTTGCTCTTGACTACATGCTCTTGCTGCTGCTTTTCTGCTATCTCTGGAGCTCATCAGATCCTTTTGTGAACTGTCATGTTAGCTTGATGCAGACAGCACAAAAATAAGTTCTCTGATGGCTCAGGGGGTTGAATTGGTTGACAAATGAGTCTCGAGTGCCAGAGCAGTCAGAAAGGAGGCAGTGAGAAGGAAGGAGGGAAAACAAGACCTCATAGCACAGCATTTGGTTAACATAAGATCATGTGCTTTTTTGCACAGTGTGTGGGTTTTTTCAGTGTATGTTTTGATCATCTCACTTCAAATGGCAAAAAAAATGAGATTCTTTTATGAAGCTTCTAGATTGATTTAAGGAATTCAGACCTATGCCATTATCCTACTTATTCCTCCAGTAGCTCTTCAACCCATTTGCCAGTTTTAACCAAACTTGAGGAATTTGCAGAGATGTAATAATATTGTCTTTTAATATAAACCATGTTAATTTCAATCCTAAATTGATTTAGATATGTGGTAGTTTGCTTAGCAACTTATAATGAATTTTCTTTCTAACAATGGAAAATAATTTAATTTTAAACTATTTCTCGAATGCAGTAGAATATTTTACCTCTTTTTTACTTTTTTTTTTCCCCCCCCTACCTGTTGGGATGCAGAGGAAACAATCTCATTTCAGAGTATTTATAGGAAAAAGAAATTCATATGCTAAGCTTTGGAGTACCTGAATAAGGAAAACTGAAATACTCTCACTGACCTTAGTATAATGCTTCCTGTAGCCAGAAGCCTAAGTAAAACCCATTTCAAGTTTCCACATGTCTAATGCTTGGGAATCTTGATCTAAAAGCTTTTTATCATTTGGATATAGCTTTGTTTAATTGCTGTCTTTGTTACAGATTGGTGCTGTTCCTTTAGCTGCTTTAGGAGCTCCTGCTCTTGATCCTGCCCTAGCTGCTCTTGGGCTTCCTGGAGCAAACTTAAACTCTCAGGTATGTCACACGTTCTAAAATTTGCTTTGTTGTCCCTGACAGATAAGAAGTTTGCCTAGCAGACGTGATGCTCTTAAGCGTTCACCAGTATATTAAATAACAAGCTGAAGAGCTGGAAATACTATATTTAGGTTTGAAGAAGTGTTACAAAATACTACTTTGTATTAAAGGCTTGGCTCAGTGTAGTCTGCACAGGCTTGCTGGTTCTTTAAACTTCTTAGAATTGTTACAGAATGCAGTCTTTGTTTCTTGGCATAGCAGATTTATATATGAACAGTTTTCTTTTGCTACCCTCTTTTCTGTTTTAAAAGTACTTTCATTTATATCAGTTTAATGGCCACTGTCTGGAAAATCCAGATTGATTTTTCTGAGAACCTGTTTGGAATAAACAGTATCTGTACAAGTGTCAAATTAAATGCCGAAAGGACAAAAAAAAAAATTTGAGACTGGTAATGAAATATTAAAAATAGGTGTCATTATCAAGCTACCAACCTGTCTTGTACCTACAGTAAAAAAAAAATTGTTTAGCTTTTTAATTTTGTAGGTATAAAAAACACTGAGGTGACTTTGTAATATTTTTAAAACTGAATAAAAAAAGACTAAGTACTAACTAATAGTGATGAGTAGAATATTGAGTTAATATTTAAGGTATAAGAACCAAATACTGTACAGAGAACATGTTTTACAGGTACAAGAAGTAGTAATAATTTAACGCATTCCTAAGAAATCCATCATTCAGCATTCTCTGTATGCATGCCATGTGTAGTAACAAGAAAATAATGGTTATAATGAAATAACAAATGAAAAAAGTAAGCATTCTAAATGCATATTAGAAAAATACAAATTTGGAGTGTTGAAGGATTGTTTCCTTTGTCCATTAAGCCAGCTGATTGTAACAAACTGGGTTTAGCACATGGCTACATCTGTATAAAGAAAATTAGGGGGGACAAAACATTTCATTGTTAATACAACGCTGGTACAGGAAGTGGCCAATTGTAATAATACCTGGATTTTCCCAAGAGCTGTAAAATATATTGTTTTGGGGTTTTTTTCCATCGTAAAGCCTTTTTTGCGTTAGCCGCTGCTGAGTATACATACAAGGAAGGTAATTTTCTTAAGCATACACATCTTCCAACATGGTTTTAACTTTTTCTTCTCACAGTCTCTTGCAGCAGATCAACTACTAAAACTTATGAGCACAGTGGATCCAAAGTAAGCATCATTGTTTACAAATATTTGTATTGCAATACACATGATCTTGGGAGTATCTGTTGTGATTCAGTATCCAATATTTGTCCTGCTGGATCTAATTAAGGTTGGAGAAAACTAGTGTCTTGGGGACCTTGTGCAGAGTCTCTTTTCTGTGGTAGAGGGAAGAGGGGGAGGAAATGATGATTATTGAGCCTTGCATCTATGGAATAACACCAGTTAATCTCTAGGATTTCATTTTGATAGAGACAAATTCAGATTCTTGCATATAATTTTTGTCACTTCTGTGTCTGTAATATAAAGGCGCAGCTAGCACCTTACATCCTGCAAGGCTGAAATGAAGGGGCTATGGTTGACAATGAGCCAAGACCAGCAACCGTTGTAAAAAACAGTAATAAAAACGTCTATGTATGTTACAGCTGTCAGAAGATAACAAAAGACAGCTTGTCTTATTACTTGGTAGAAAAAGAGTGCAAATAAGAGTAGGCACAAGTATTTTCTAATTTTTATTTCAGTATTCAGAAAAGGGATAATTTTGTTCAAAGTAGTATGGCATGGCGACAGCAGGTAGGGAAGGATTGTAGCACAATGTATTAATGTGCTGTTAAGCTATTGATAACATTGCAATAGGATGATGAAAGCATATGCCATTGAAAAAAGCTGTTAGGCAAATCAGTAGATGAGAACTGTACTAAATACAAAGAAACCACATCTGCCTCAGAAAGCCCTTGTACCACAAATTGCAGGAAGCTTTGGAGAGAATTCTTTCAACTCTCAGATTCAGGAAAGCATAGCAATGTGTGCTTGCCCTGCTGTTGTATTAGCTAAATAGACTTCTAACCCTGTTTGGCCGGGCAGAGTTTTTAAACTATCAGAGCCATCTGATTTGTACCAGGGAATAAAGCTATGTATGTGATCTATCTTTGTTTTTACTACTGTTCTGGCACATTATTCTCTATTTTAAATTGACATTTCTGTAATCAGTAATCATAACTGATTGAACAAAATAGTTACCCAAGATAATGGATTAGATAAACATTAGTCAGGTGTATTGTGTATACCTGGTTGGCTTCAAAGCCACCTTGTGGAACACATCTTCTGCACTTCAAATTTCATCACTGTTTGGAGGCTTCTCAGTATGGGCTACCAAAATGGAAGCTGACTTTCAGCTGTGTTACAGATTGTTTCCTGTGGAGTTGCTCTTTCAGGTGATGAGAATTGAAATTGTGTTGTACAAAAACATTCTGAGAAGTGTCATTAGCAATGTAGCTGTACAAGATAATACAACTTTCCTGCTATTTACAGTTTACTAGAATTCTGAGAGCCGTATGTGCTAGTATGTTGTGCCACTGTTTTCAGCATAGATGTCACATCTTAGGCTTGCTACTCTGTTATCTGAATGGTGACAAAACGCAGGCAGACTCTGATTCGCTTACATCAGTCACTTTGAATAGGCTGCAAACTGACAATAGAGGCATGTATTTCTTGGATTCATCCCTAAAGTGCTAAAATTCTTCTATTTACCAGGTTGAACCATGTAGCTGCAGGTCTTGTTTCACCAAGTCTGAAATCAGATACCTCCAGTAAAGAAATAGAAGAAGCAATGAAAAGAGTACGAGAAGCACAGTCATTAATTTCTGCTGCTATAGAGCCAGGTAATTTTAAATTGTAGAATACCTCATTCAATTCAAGATGGAGTTTGGACATAGTATATGGTAAAAGCTAATTGTCTGCAAAATATTGGCTTAATGCTTTCATATTCTGTAGTGACTTAACTTATACTTGACAGATTTTTAATTGTTCTACAGTGTGAATGCTGCGTGTGTCCTGCAGAATGATGTATGGAATTAATAATCTGTTTTTCCCAAAATTCACTTGATTTGCAGATTGCAAAATGCTTGAGCTTCCCCCGACTGAAGTTCATACTGCCGTGTCTGAGATTTCATTGGAAACTGCAAGTGGCTTAACCACTTGACATCCTAGTGATGTTTGTTCTTGGAGATGATTTCCTTTCTTTTACTTCCTAAGCTGTGGAAGTTTATAAATAATTCTTTTATAGCTTATTTCAGTAGATATTATTTTAGAACAAGGTGCAGCAGTTCATCTGCAAATGTCAGATCCACCAGATCTGAGAAGCAGTAACTTGGAACACTGAAAATACAGTTTTGCAGCCTCCTGATCATTTTCAGGAAAGAATAGAGCTCCTGTTCCTTTATTATACCAGAAAAATGTGCTGATTGTTTTGCTTGAGGCTTTTTGTGTTAAATTCAAAACAAAAATTTGAGAGATTCTTTAGTCCTTCACAAAATGGCAGAGATTCTGAGATTTTAACAAGACTTTGCATTGCCAGGCAGCAATAATCTAAGTGACTTAAATTAGACATTTTCTGAATTTTGACTTCTTCAATTTTGCATAAAACTTTATGTTGGTTTTATGTCGCACTGTTCTTTGTGTCATCTTTTGAGGAAAAGAATAGATAAGCCTTAATTTCAAATGTCAAAATATTCCTTAGTTTTTCTTTGTCTTACTTATATCTGTAGTGTGAAGCTCAACTTCCTGTCATTTATGAAATCTTTTTGAATACTAAAATAACATTGGGGTTTTTTACTGTGCTCTTGCTTTTTAACTCCAGACAAAAAAGATGAAAAACGGAGGCATTCACGGTCAAGGTCACGCTCAAGGAGGAGAAGGACACCTTCTTCATCTAGACACAGGTAGTTAGCTTATTTGCTTTAAAAAAAAAAAAAACAAAACCGAACCACATAGCTGAAACAATTTCTTAAAAAATACGTCTTGGAAGTGAGACCTCACTTGTGGAGGCTGACAGATGGAAGAATGCAAATGGTCTGAAGAAAGCTGAGGCTGTGATTTGGTTAGGCTGTAGTGTGAGATGGAGGCCTACCTCTGTTTTTGTAGAAAGGGTGGGAGAGACATGATAGCAAAAAATACTTCAAAAATACCTTAAACTATTGCAGCAAGAAGTTCAGGACACCTAGTCCTAGCAGTGTTTGGACTCTGATTTTATTTAACAATAAATTGTTTCCTTTATCAGATAAGAAACACCTTAGCACAGAGCCTTGGTTTTACTCACCCCTCACTACTATGAACACCGAAGCCATTGCAGGCTGTCCATTGTACAATAGTTCTTAAACCTCTGTTCTTCAGTCTCTTTCCAGTGTGCTCATGTGGTAATTATAATTTGTCTAGGAGGCTTCACTGAGCACTGTTACTTACGTACAGAAATGTTTACCTGTTGGGCTGTTTGTTTCTAGTTACGTGCAGCAAATTCAGCTTTGTGGAAGTATCTGGGACAAAAGTTTTTCTAGCATTTTCTAGGTTATGATTTACTTGGAGATCAGGTCTGTTCAGGTATCCTTACTAGAGATCTTAATACTGTCCTACCCAAACAGAAAGATATGTGGCTCACTTATGCTGTTGGCTTGTCAGCTCCAGGTAGACCATGCATGCCAGTGGCCCGTGCAAAGCCACTTTAACTATGGCTTAATGTGCACTCTTTTGCTATTGGCATATTCAGTAACTGGCTTGTATTTGGTTCAGTATTCTAAAAATTTCTTCGCATTTCAACATCTTACCAGTTTTTCTCTGCAGTGGGACTGATACTTTTCTTAGGAGAGTAATAAGAGAGCTGATTGAAGCGTCATTGTTCTTTGACGTTTAGCATTTGTGCACTTCCTTTTTCCATTTCCTTGGCAGACTCAATGTGACTCCTTCGCTGTTTTCTCTATTCTTTTTTCTGTTTTCTGTATCATTGTGCATTACGGTACCGTTAGAACTGAGCAGATGGATTCTGAATAGTGTATCAAAATTCATGTGTGTAACTCCCATGTACAATGTGTTACTGGTAGACGGTCAAGAAGCAGATCAAGGAGAAGGTCCCATTCAAAATCAAGAAGCAGGAGGCGATCTAAAAGTCCAAGGCGAAGAAGATCTCATTCCAGAGAGAGAAGCAGAAGGTCTAGGAGTACATCCAAAACCAGGTAATTGCTTCAGTAAATCTATTATATTTGCTAGAAATTAGATTTTTAATTAAGCACCAAAATTTAATAAAAACAAACTCAAAACCCACAAACAAGCAAAAAACCTAGGGCAAAATGAAGTAGTGGCTCTTTTTTAAGGTCACAGTCTCTTCTAACGTCTTACAGAATTATATTGCATTTGCCCTATGCACGTGCAAGTTAGTTACATAAAAACATGTAACACTTTTCCTAAGAGTCAACAGACGCAGCAGGCATTAGGTGAATCACTCAGTAGCTGTCTTTGGAAAGCAGGAAATGTGAGCATCTAGACTTGCAGACTTTGTGCTGTTCGTACACTGAGGCTACGAAAGAGCTGTTCTTTTCTTTTGCTGTAGATAATTGTAATCTTTGTTTCCATTAATGCAGTATGACTGGCCCCAGAGTGCTAAACAGTATATGCTCGCCAGTGTAGTTACCATGTCTTCACTGCTTTTGCTATGTAGGAAAATCGATGAATGCTACTTGAATAGTTTGGCTTAAACTTAAAATCTGTATTTTACCAAAAGGGATAAAAAGAAGGAAGAGAAAGAAAAGAAACGTTCCAAAACTCCCCCCAAAAGCTACAGCACAACTAGACGATCCAGAAGCACAAGCAGGTACAGTAACATGAGAGTTTTCCTTGGTCTCTCTTTCCAGCATCCTTTACCCACTTTAGTAGAAAGAACATTCTTGTTTGTAATAGGATGATGATTCTGCTGTGGATATATTGGGTGTATGCACAAGTGCATGTATACTGTCTCTACCTATGTTGATAAGATGCTTATTTCTTTCCCTGATACTGTAATTTTCTTGAGGTGTTGTTTGGGCTTGGAAGAGTTTCTGCTTGCTCTATATCAAAGAGAGTATGATGCTTTGAGGTCACTGTTAAGCTCTTTGCTGATTTATGGAATAAATACATGCAAAGTGTGTGCCATTCTTTTTTTAAAAAAGAAACTTGCAAAGTTACTTGCAATATTAACAAGAACCAACTGGTTTTTTCTGTTTGCAAAAGGAGTCAGTATCGGTAATACAGTCTAAGCTAGCAATTTGTTGGTGAAGGTGGAGGAGGTAGAATAGGAAACCCCTTACTCTGCTGATCAGCGACTGTGTAGGCTTGGCAGTACTGCTAATAGTAAATACCCAATTTGAGTTATACTTATTTATATACATACTGCCTTTTCAGCGGTGCTGGTTTTGGAGCCAGAGATGTGCTTGTAGCTTTTTTTTTTTAAAAAAAAAAAAAAAGTTTTGATCTCTTTTTCATGCAGAGAAAGACGACGTAGAAGAAGCAGGAGTGGAACACGGTCACCTAAAAAACCCAGGTCTCCTAAAAGGAAAATGTCCCGATCCCCATCTCCAAGAAGGTCAGTAAGCCACTTGGCTAAAAAAGAAAAATGGTGTCTGGGTGAAGAATTCCCAAGATGTGAACTGCAGCAAAGATCACAGTGGGGTTATTTTAAAGATGGGTGGAGTGTGGCATGTTCCTTACACCTAGCCCATAGGTCGACTTCTTGAGAGAGAATGGATCTCTGCTGCCTGCTACTGCTTTTTATCATCATTTAATCAGCTTCAAGCATAGAGCTTCTCTGTTAGTGCCCAAGAACTCCAAACGTGAGCTATTCCAGGGGTGGGGAGTCGGAAGTACCCATAGTTCCTGGCCTGTTTGGCTCTGTACAATAGGAGTCAACTGACTGTTGGTTGGGCCTGGGCATTTTGTGATCCTCTCTCCCTGAACGGGGAACTGGAGGTGCTCCTTCTCCTTCATAAACTGCTGTAGTGTTGCTATTCTTAACACAGTGTTTCTTAGACTTCGCTTTGTGGTGGTTGTGTTTGATCCAGAGCTAAGAAATCGGGATGTTCAGTTATTTTCTGAAAGCGAATGGTGTATCTTAGTGCACGCTGCTATTTCCCCTTAGATTTGTAATGAACTACGGGTAGCAGTCTGGACACGGTCTGTGTTCTAGTTACGGAATGGTGTGATTGTGGTTTTCACTCTTCTACATACTTTATCATTGTAGACATAAAAAGGAAAAAAAGAAGGATAAGGACAAGGAGAGAAGTAGAGATGAGAGGGAGCGGTCAACAAGCAAGAAAAAAAAAAGCAAAGACAAAGAGAAGGATCGAGAACGAAAATCCGAGAGTGATAAAGACGTGAAAGTATGTTTAAAAACCTGTTTAACTTCACTACCTGTGCTGTAGTATTAACCTTAAACCAACAGGGGTTTACCAGCAAGTTTTACACTTTTTTTTTTATCTCGGCAAAGCAGGTCACAAGGGATTATGATGAAGAAGAACAAGGATATGACAGCGAGAAGGAGAAAAAGGAAGAAAAGAAAATGGGAGACTCATCCTCCCCTAAAGGAAAGGAGTCTGCCGCTGATAAAGGCAGTGGAGATTCAGCAAGGGAATCCAAAGTAAATGGGGATGATCATCATGAAGAGGACATGGATATGAGTGACTGAATTTTGCCTTTGCAGTGAACACAGCTGCAGACGTGCATCAGTGTCATTCCTGTGTGATTCTTTTATGCTGTACTTGTTAATCCTAAATCTAGGTGTATACAGCTCTAAGCTATACATGGTTTGTAAATCTCCTGATACTAACTCACATCAAAAGCTTTATGGAAAGGTAACCATTCTTGTTACGGCCGAAAGGGATTGCGTAGCCAAGCAATTTTTACTAACTTGGTGATGCTTCAAGCAACAGTAAAAAGCTGCATGCATCTACAGCAGGCATGGACTGTTTGTTGTATGATCTCCTTTAGTAAATCAGCTCACTTATGATAGTGTTTCTAGAATTTGATTCATTGCAGTAATAGAGCAGTATAGGGAATGCACTGACTGCATGTTGATTGTGGCAGAAACATCCTAAATGTTCTAAAGTCCTACAACATATGGTGGATCTACTTAAGGGTCTTAAATGTGACTACACAAAAAAAAATTGACAGTACATCTGAAAATAAGCATTCTGATATAGATAGGTTTTTTTGTTGGGTTTTTTGTTTTTTGTTTTTTGGTTTTTTTTTTTTAAGCCATGTGGCTGGGGTTGGTTTGTTCTGTTCTGGTTTTTTTCCGGTGGGGTTTGTTTGGCTTTGACAAAGTTAAAATGCACTAACCTTTTTGAGGGCTTTTTTTTTTTTTTTTTAATCAGTCAGTTCAAATTCATCTCAGGCGAGTTATAATGGTTCTTAACTTTTCTTCTCGAGCCTTGGGAAGTGAAAATCTCTGCTTGATCAGTGCCCAGTGATTAAAGGTTGATTTGTGCAGTTTTCATAATCCAGGTCGATTTATTTGTTAATAAGCTTAAACACATTGCAAAAAGGTAGTGCATTTTAAAATTGACCTTCGTATGCTTTTAAAAGCAAGTCTACTTGATAATGTACTTTTTACTTGATCTCAAGTTGTATAAACTAATAAATTTGTGTTTACTGTCACTGCAGTAGTAATCTTATGCACACAGTGATTCCATGTTATATGCAAAGTAGTTAGGCAAGCTGTTTTCTTAGTTACGGAAGTTCAAGAGCTTTTACTTTTGTGCAGGTAAAAAGACAAAAGTAGGCTACAGTCTGTGCCATGTTGATGTACAGTTTCTGAAATTGTTTTACAAAACTTTGATAATAAAACCCTCAAACTTATACTCATGTTCCTATAAAACTCTGCTGGTATTTATTTACACCACTGAATGTATGAAACTTTACCTCATTCATTTCCAGTATACATTTTTCTTCATCTACCCATTTTAAAAAGACCGTAACAACTCCCATCTCTTCCAAAACTGTAAGCGCAGCGACAAAGCTGATAAGCCTGCCATTGTAGCTCTGGTTAAGTGTGCTACACTACAGAAAGAATTATTTTACTTCTTGGGGGAGTGAAGGGGATGGGCTTAAATGGAAATCTGGAGGTATCAGGGGACAAGTACTTTCAAAAAGAAATATGTATTTGTAAAAACGTTTTGTATTTTCACTGAAAGATGAGCATTTACCTCTTCAGGACGGTAATGGAAGACTAGCAGGAACGGGAAGCAGCGAGTGCTTTGTGCATATGAATTAGGCTGTTAATGTCAACTAAAAACTTACGGGTTTAAATCAGGAAGTTTTGGAATGAAACTGTAAGTGGTGCTTGAACTTCTTGAATCTGATGAGTCAAACCACCTTCTTTTTAAACTGTCCTTTTGCCCTCGGCAAAGTGGAACCTGCCATTTAGATACACAGTGTCATTTTTAGAATTTATAGAAATGTAAATTTTTACCAACTGTTTTGGGTATTTTGTCAGTACGGAGAGGCATATGTCATACCACCAGTTCTAGGCTTTTTTTCTAGTGGAGAGAGAGGGATAGTTCTTGTAATAAAATCAAAATAGATGCAGACAAGGTGCATGAGGTCTTCATAGATGTGCCTTCTTTGTTGTCATCAAGATATTTATATGTGAAGTACAAGAACATAAACTGATTTATAGTAATAAACTTCCTTGATCCTTAGACCGTGTTGTTGTGAAAGTCATTCACACGCTGTACTGAAGGACCAAGTCAGGCTATTGACCTCAAGATGGTAGATCAAGGCTACGTGTAATTAAATTATGTTGTTTCTAGTTTATTTTGCTAACAAACCAAGTGTGTTGCGTGCTGCTTGCACACCTCCAGCTGCCCAAGCCCAAATACAGACTGGAGAAAGGGGTGGGTTTAGACTACGTTTGCTAATTGTGCACATAACCGTACATATTTTTGGTTTATTGCCTTTCAGGGTAGGAGCCGGTAGAGCTGTGCTGCAGGAGGCGGCTGCCGGTTGTGTCAGGGAACAGCCTTACGCTGCTCCCCTCGGGTGGCGTTGCAGACAAGGCCCTGCCTTCTTCCTGCATCGCGTGAACCTGTAGGAGAGCTTCCTCTCCCAGGTGTGTGTATGTGTATAGATATAGATATATGCCATGTCACACAGTTAGGGCACTGAGCTAGAACAACTTTCAGTAATTTGAGGTTGGTTTGCTAATTATTATGGAGCCCAGGCTCACCCACCTCTTGAGGTGAGGCCTTCCAAGTCAGGTACCACCTCTCTGCATTACTGAAGTAGTTTAATCTGGATGTAGCAGCAGCTGCTCCTGGCCTCTGGCGTTCTTACAGGTGGATTTAACTGACAGTGGTAACTTGCAGTTTTTCCAAAAATGGCAGTAGTGATTTTGTTCCAAGGTCTCTGATAGTGCGGAATGAGCTGCATGCTGACAGGCTATTTCATTTGGAATGAATGTATAGGACACCTCTTAACTGAGACCGAAGTACCACGATCCAGATGGAAAAAGTTATGTCCTGCTGTTGACGCTGGGCAATTCGGTGTCGATAGCTGGTCCATCATACATTGATGACTTCCCGTATGTGCAAAGAAAAATGTCTTGCTCAGCTGTACTTTCACAGTACTCGAGCCGGGACGTCCCTGGCACGTCTTGCCGTACTCATTTCAAAAGTGGTCATAGCGAACGCCGGTCTTGTGGCTACCAGCCCTATGGAATGGTGCATTGTAGCAACATAAAGGCTACAACTGCAGTTTACCGAGATCTTTCCTTTCACTTGGTGCTGGTTTAAGCATGTTCTGTAATTCCAAACGTGAGTTCTCCTTACCCTTTATAAATACATAATTTTTTAAAAAAAGTTAGCAAATCCTGAACTATAGAGGGGTGCCCTGATCTCTGCTTTGCCAACTCAACTTTGATGCCTGCAGGAGGACAGACGAGCAATTCTAAGTTAAAAAAAAAAAAAAAAACAAACCCAAAAAACAACAAAAACAAACTTCTACAAGGCAAAACGAAACTTTAGCAGTTCCAGGTTTTGCTTTCCAAGTCATCCACAGTTCTGAGAGACTCCTGTTATGCCCCATTGTCACATCTTTGTTACTTAAATGAGCGCATTTCTGGATTTAGGAGATAAAACTTCTGTAATTCCTGAACAGAGTTCAGTAAACTTAAAAGGTCTCCTGTCCCAGGTCACTATTTCTAAACTTCTGACTCCTCAGCTCCAGGTAAATGCCAGAAGCTGCTGCCCCTGTCCTTCCACCACTGCTCTTCCACTGTGTACTAGACAAGTCCAACAAAACTTTCAGCTTTACAGAGGGTAAAGAACAGTGTATAATGAAAACGCAGGATTTTATTCAAAAAATGACCAATAAAATGCCCTTGCAGAATGTAGCAGCATGAGCTTGTCCCCTCAGATCGAATCCCCGCTCAGAGGCACAGGTCTACGGTGTATGTATATCCTAAAAAGTACTGTGACAGGAGCGTTAAGACCAGATTTTCACATGTTGGAGAGTTTCAGAATCAAAGAGCATATTTTGGTCTTTATTCTAACAAATGATACAACCAAAAATTACTATTAGTGAAGGTAAGTTAAAAACGTGGACCGGACAACTAGTAAAATGCAAAAAAGTGACATTGTTTCCATGATAATTACAAATTGTAAGGAAAATAAATGTGAAACTGCAGCATTACAGGAAATTTGTTAATACAGATTAAATAAGCTGTTACCCTTGCATGAATTACAAATCAGGAACAAATACATTTAAAAAAACCAGACAGTTGCTTTGAATATCAACTTAACAAGGTGGGTTTCCAGCACAAATATATCCAGAGTTTTTTTGTAACAAATTGTTTCAATACATAAATCAAGAATCGCAGTAAAGTGAGTACAGTGACTGGGACAGCAGCTCCTTGAAAAGAAAAAGAAAACTCATTCCCTTTGCCACAAATTAAAGCAGTATTTTGGAAGACCAGTGAAACAGTTTGGTTAAGAAACAACCCTAGGAATTCTTTTGCAACAATTTCTTATTTCAGTTTACCAGAATTAATGGCTGTCTTCTAATACTTATTCATAAAACAAACCAAAACCTCAGAGCCATCGGGGGGAAAAAAATAGTGGTAAGATCAGAAAGAAACAATGCCCCAAACTCTGCACTGAGGTGGCCTCTCCCAGAGCCCTGGTACAGAGGAGCTCCTCCACACGCGTAGCTTGCGTGCTGTTGTCAGCCTCACCCCGAAGAACACCACCACGTCAATGTGCATCTCAATACCCAAATTCTTACCCAACCTGTGCAAGCTCCCTTTTTCATCCTGCTTGTGTAACCCAGTAACAATACCGTGCACCTCAGCTGGTGCGTCCAGAAAGGTGTGTTTAGTTACCCAGACCTTCCTACATTGCAGGACATCCTGTTGCAATGAAGTCCCTATGCAAATTAACGAGTTAAAGCCCACACGCTTCTTGTTGCGTGGTGGTGATGAGGGAGACAACCTCAGTAAAGCCGCTGTGGTTATGTATTGACTCTACAGGGGACCAAACCTTCCCTGAACACCCAACGTGGTCTTAAGGAAAAGATAAGGGGAAAACCAAAAATTAAGTAAGTTCTGCTAATCAATCCTGCTAGAAAAAATAAATTTCCCAATGATATCTGAACAGGAGATCACAAGTGGTAAAGGACACCAGTGCCCACAGCACAGCTGTGGACTAAGGCTCCCTCTATACCAGAAACGCTTCACCCATCCACAGGGCTGGCGAAGCTTCTGTACAGACGCATCCATACTGACAAATACGCATTTTGTGCCAGTACAACACAAAAACTCTTGCACGCAAAACAAATTACAGTGGATAAAACATTTATATCAGTGTGGACAGAGTCACCACTAAAGAACTGCACCAGCACAGCTACGCTGCCGGGCTCACATCCCTTCACGCCTGTGGATTGCTACGGTTGTGCCAAGGCGCGAGTCCCTAAGGTAGGCTCAGCCTAACGTCCCTCTCGCTAATGAGGACTCCTGCAGCTTGCGGCGTATCCATCAGGAAACCATGCCCCAAGTGTCCCTATGTTTTAAGTTTCAAAACTCATCATTAGGAATGTTTCAGACAGAAAACACATCACCAAAAGTAGGAAGGAAATGTACCGAGAAACAGTTCACAGAGTCTTACTTCATGAGGCTGTTGCAGGAATCTGAGAACAGTCACCGAACTGGAAAGGACAATCTGGTTGGAGTCAGATCATTCAGCTCCACAGTAAGAAGAAAAGTAGCAGCAGGGTATGTTCACCATAATAATGTAAAAAGACTACAGTCAACCAAATCTGCGTCCACTCCTCTCTGCTGACACTCCAAATTAGAGCAAGCCTTAATATAGCAACCCACTATAAAAAGTTTCTGCAAATCTTAAAACGTATCAAAGTTAGTAGTTGTGTAATCGTGAAGGTTAAAAAAACCCACAAAATCTGCAGCCAGAGTCTGTGGAAATCACAGAAAACATTTCCACAGACTGCAGTGGGCTTTGAGTCAGACACCTCATTTGCCACCAGAAGACACGGGCTGTTCTATAGGCAGATGGAGATATACAGAACCCTCTGTTTTCATGTGAGGCTACACAAAAATCTTTGTTCTTTTTTTTTTTTTTTTTTAAAAGAGTCCATTGCAGTCGCTATATTGCCTAAACCACATAGCTCCAGCTACGTATCCTCCTTCCTATGTCAGCAAGCTCTGTGATGGTAATTTGGAATAACCAAAAATGCAAAGTAATACAAAACACATGGTTCTTTCCCTGTAATACTGAGAAAAAGGATTTCTAACATTCACCTTATGGAGAAACGTTCTTCCACATCTGCTGAGATTTCCGAGCAACTCGGTACTCCTGTACAGCACCTGCACTCACTTGAGTTTCACACCCGGCACAGGACCTGATCCAGCAGCACTACACAAAACATTCTACCCCGCAACGGGCATCTGTAAAAGAGGGCGACAGGAGAAATCTGTACTTGGCCCCACTGACATTTAATCCTGACCTCCAGCACTGACAGGGCAATTCAGTCTCTACATACATTCAACCCTGGTCTCTCCCGGTAAGGATCTCAGCTGTTTCGAAGCAAGAGCATGAGGTGGGTGTCCATTTATACCATAGATGTAAAACACTTCAGGAATTCATAATTACTTGGAAGAACAAGTTCTATCATTCCTGCCAAATGTTCAACATCTGCTACTGACAGAGTACTTCAAAAGTCACTACAATTCTTAATTTCCCTTTGTTTTCCCCTCCCTGTAGTTTTATTTTCCATCTGACTTTCAATTTAATGACTCCAGTGTATTGATCACAGTCTGCAAAGTAAACGTTACTCACCCATCAAACTTGCAGGTCTATAGCGATGCTGGAGGAGGATCAACCTCAACTTTCTGTTAGGAGTTTATCTGTACTTTGCTGACAGTGATTCACTAGGACTCCACTTACAGAGTGGATACCGTACTTCTCTAGAGCAGCCTCTTTGGGTTTTATACAGATGGATTCCAGCAGTTTTGAAAGAACGTCTGCATCAGACATGTGTTTCCTTGTTCTGTCCATGTGCCTGACAAGTCAGCTTTTATTGCCTTATGATAAGCCTCTCCACTTCTTCCCTGCATGGTTAGTTAGGTTGATTACCTTTACTAAGCATTGATGGTATTCTTTATTATAAAGTTTGATACTTAACTCTATTGTTTTCCAGAAAAAGTTTTAACTACAGTGCACAAAGAATATAATTTTGAAAATATTTACATTTTTGTACAATTACACCACAACACTTTAATCTAAATTTCTTAATACAAACAAATAGCACCATTAGCCTTTTGCACAAATTCTTCCTAACAAACCAAAAAGCTGGATTATTGTCAAATTAGGAGACTGGAGCCACCTGGAATGAGAATAAGCTCGAGAAGCCAGAGTACTGAAATGCCTGTCTATTCAAAATATTAAGAGGAAGGAAATTAATCCGGAAACATCCTATGCATTTGCAAATAAAATCTTCCAATGTGAGCCCTATTCAATGTGCACTACAATTAAACTAACTTCAAGAGAAACTTTTTCTTACATGAAGACTCAATGCTTGAGCTTGTTGTTCGAGTAACTGTTTATACGCACCCCATGTTTTCTAGTGGCTGCTGAATACAAATACAAGATAATCTAGCTGATGCTCAACCATTACGGAGCAAGTCTCCCAAGTGAACGTGAAAAAAGAAGAAAAAAGTGCCAATTTCTAGCTAATGAACCTGCAAGCATACTAATCACAGCAGCATCATGGACACAGCAGGGACTTCCAAGCCAGCATGATGAAGAGAAGTTAAGCGCAGAGCCAACAGAAGGAGGATTAATGAACAGCTCAGTGAAGAAATTAGCAGATCAGAGAGACATGGATAGCACCACAATGGATTGCACTAAGGTGCTAGAGGAGGTACCTCGTTCCCTGCAGAGCGAATGCTATTTCTGAAGTGTATTGCAGTATGAAAATGCAATTGTTTAATGGTTACCATTTGGTTCATTCATCTACAGAAAATGCATTCCTTCTAATATACGTTCAACTAACATTCAAATTACTGAACTATACATAATGATACATAGTTTACAATTCATGAAAACAAAGCTTGAAATAATATTATATGGTCAACTTAAGTATGGCGGGATGTTTTATAGGGCTAATATCCAGCTAAGACATTTCAACTTTTATGCTAATGGTCCAAGAGTGCTTTTTGTATCAACAAGAAATGTAAAAAATTTAAAAACGAATGATAGTCCTCACAGCTGTTAAGTATTCTCAGGGTCATCGAGGTGTCAGACTACCACGCTTGCAGTACTGGATGTATAAAAGTGTGAAGGACACATCAGGAGACTTGCTGTAAATCACGAACTAGATTAGATGCCCATTATAGTGAGTATCGGTACATCAGTCCTTTGATGCACATTCCCTTTTCTTCTGGATTATTAAGTTTATCCCTTCCTTTATGACCCACTTTTCTATCTATATCTGTGGGCTATTTGCATCCATTTGCTTTCACTGTGGTACGCTGGTATTGTTATTCACCATTAACCTTCCAGTTTAGTTAGAGATCAGGAAAACGGCTGGGGTCTTCCTTGTAGTCATCAGGAATAGTGAAGATGGATTCGTCAAATTCATCATAACGGAACTCCTGAAAAGTCACAGTGGCTGTGATGGTGGGAAATACAGGAATATCTAGGCAGGAAGCAAAACGGTACAATGAAGAGCAAAGAAATACAGGCTCACCGATAATTGCCAACTCTTAACATCAAGATTTGTAACTTCAAACTCCCTAGAGATGCAGAAGCTTGGTTAGTATTGTATACAATGGCAATTCAAAGCTCTTAGAAAAGGAAGTGTTTTAAAGAAAGTTATTTCAGAATATACTCAGATACCCTGAGCACGCAAACAATACCCAACTCAATACACCACTCAAAAACCTGTTAATATTGTTAATTCAGTGGTTTTCCTTTCTTGATGCAGACCGACAATGTGGAAACCAAGGTGCTGTGAACATACAGATTAATCTGTAAAATAAAGGACATTGGCCTGAAGATGATACAAGATGAAATAACCTTGCCACACATAGGCTTCAGCTGAGCAAATCCACATGAAAAGATGAACCTTTTTAATATTTATTTGAAATATAAGCCTTCTCCAGTTTTATTGAGGATAATTCTTAAGTGTCCAATTCAAACTGGCTTGCCCATGAGCTAACTTAATGAACTAAGCAAAAATTCAATCCTCAGTAAACAGAGCTGTGTAAATATGATAGGAGGTAGAATATCGTCTGTTCAGAATTGCCTAGCTTAAACAGCTTACTAGTATGCAAAAAACCCTGTAATACTTAGAAAAGGTACTATTACTTTTTGGCAATTTATGCTGTGCTAATCTATACCATGAGTAAATTGCTTTCTCTATTTCCATTTTTTAGAAGTGTAATAGTTTTCTATTTATTTATAGGTGAAAAATATAGCACCAGTAATCCTTGAGGAAAAAGGAATACAAAAGTGCTAGAAAATACTTAACTCCTGACTAAGATCACCCTTTAATGCAAGGATAATTCAGCATAATTACATTACTCTTAGAGCAAGACCCTAGCATTAGAAAAACATAAATTACAGAGCTCTCTTCCTGACTGGGACTATATTCACCTTTCAGCTGCAGATTTCCTACCCATTGTTACTTCCAGTAACTCAACTATGTTCTCCGGAAATCTACAGCAACATGCTCTTATGTAAGAGAGTTCTTTTCCAAAACTCAACACATATCGCACGAATGAGTACACACATTTGGGAGATACAAAGCCACAAGAGTTGTTGTAGTCACTTTACCTAATTTTACAGGAAAGCCTGGTGGAAGCTTCATTTGAACAAATTCTCTAAGTTTGTTAAAGTGCTTGAAGGGTGCAATTACTTCTAAAACATTCAACAATCTGAAAAGGAAAACAGATTTCATTACAAATTCTTGTTTCACAAGCTTACCCTCTAGAAAAGATAAAAATGACCCAAGGAGCAAGGTGATAAAAAAGGAGTTGAAAAATTACATGGTGCTTATATCTCTTATCTCCTTAGAGCTTCAACATCGGCATCCTCACATTCAGTTCTTAGTGATCCATTTTATGTTACCACAGGTGTACAAATAAACATCAAGATATTGATTCCTTGTCCTCATTCTACACAAGAGACTGAAGCATAAGCACCACACCCTCTTCTCCATGGACATAAGGAACCTGACATGGTTTTGTACTGGCTTAGAGGACATAACTTTGTGCTAAAACTTGTTATGGGCAAAACCATTTTAGTGTTCTGTAGAATCAGGCACTCAGTATTGTGACACGTTAATGATAAACCTGGTCAAACCTCTGGTATTATCAAGTAAGATAAGCGCTTGGCTCTTCCAGTAACAGGCACACCAGCACTGAGGTCTCTAATTTAACTGTTTGCTTGCTTAACAGCGTGACTTCATTCACAGGTTTTAAACTGCCAAATTCCCATATCTGAAGATACGAAGAATTCTGGAGTTCCTAAACACATTAAAACATTTCCTACATATAAATTATATTCGTGGCCAATAATCTTGACTTACGATTCAATTCCTAAGGGAAATTCCTGGCTCATAGCTATCGTGGCTTTAAAGGTTTTCTTGCTTTCTTTGCAGACCAGCTCTCTACCCAGATGAGGAGCTCTGTAAGGGGGAGGGGAGAAAGACAAAGTCAGTTTTTCTCTCAGTGAAACCTTGGTTTTAAAGGAAGGAAGAAAGACTCGGGTTTGAAAACATCAGTAAAGAATCCCTATAATAAAACAAATACTTTAAAAGCTGTGCATAGTAAAGATGAGTCAGTAACCATCTTAATTTAGATCACTGAGTTCTGCTAAACCGGGAGATGAGACAAAAAACAGTTAGGGAAATGACTTAAGAAAAAATCTTAAATAATTCCTCATAAACATTATATTAATAAACACTACAGAAAGACATGACAACTACCCAGAAATATATACAGCTGATTTCAGATGTTAATTAAAACACTTTATATGTGAACAAAGTATCAAGCTGAACTAGAAAAAGGTTAATTTGCTTTCAGCCTAAAATATTAAACGACCTCAGAGAAAGCGGGAAAGTTACTCTATTATCACTAGAACGCAATCCTGGAAAACACAGGACAGAAAATTCTGTTATAGGAGAGGAATAGACATGTAACAAATAAGATAACAAACCTTTTCCTCTTTTGCTAGATTATTAACTAGAAACCTAGATTACCCATTTAATTCCCTTCAGTTGAGCAGATTATTAAACAAAGGAAATCTTATATACATACATATTTCTGACCCAACAGCTGTTCAAGCATAACCTATTCATTCTGCTTGAATACACGTTCTATGTCAAATACATTAAAAATTAAATTAGTTAAAAAAAAACAAACCCCAAACCTATCTGACTACAGGCTAGTCTAATATCTTTGGAGGAAGGACTTCTATCATTGTTACTTATGTGACACACTTGGTATGTTTTTTGGTCCTTCTACACTCAACAGCTAGACAGCATGCAGTCCTGGAAAATAAACCCAACTGCTTGCATCTTCTACAAATGAAGCTACGATAAATTAATTTAAATTACAGCTGTTTGCTACCTAGTCACACACCTACAGGAGAACATCTTGCAAAGATCTAGCCAGTACTAGGAGATCTGTATGTCCTTGTATTCCAGAAGCGTGCATTTTGTACACTGCCACTGCTACCGGAGTCTCATTAAATCATAAACTTTTATTTCAAACATAGTGAATTGGATTATTTATTTCTATAGTAAGTAAAGATAATTTGAATTACAGCAATGAATTTGTCAGAAAATCTTCCTTAAAGAAAGTCAGCTTAGATGTGCATAGTTTAAAAATGTTTACATTTCAAGCCATGGGTATCAGGTAGATGCCCATCCAACATTTTTATCACCAGTTGATGCAATAATACTGTTTATGTATACAGGTATCAGCTTCCCAGCCAGCCCACTGAAGAATGTTAAATGCCTGAGTCATCACACCCAATGTTCCTCTGTCCCCAGAAAACCATAAACGAAAAGCACCCACAAACTAGAGAACACCAAAACCCAAACTAAACCAAACCACAACACTCACAATCCCAAACCAATAATCTAAAGGTGTCTACGGAAGTTAATGTCAATAAAACAAAAACACTTACTTTCCGTTTTCAGCAGATATGTACTCTTCCCATGTAATTGTATTGGGTGATGGCGGAGTAAGTGACTGCCGTCTGACAGGCTGTTCAGAAAAACATGTCTTAACTGTTTATCTTTCCTCATAGTCTCTTAGAATTTTGCCATTCAAAAGATACAACTGTATTTCAGTTTTATGAAGAACAGCAATATAGTCTATCCAGTTTGTAGCTGATACTTCACTGGGCTTTTCCACCTCCTGCTCTTAGTCTCCATTTAGGTACTTGGCCTCAAACTGTGTTTTACATAGAAGTTGGCTGTTTTAATACATCAGTTAATCAGTTAATTCAAGTGTCTGAATGACAAGTAACAAAGCACAAGCTAATACAGAAATAAATTAATAATTTTTAAAAGGCTGCATGCGTGTTGCCAGATGATGTCTGGCTCATTCTGAATAGCTCTTGATTTCATCGTGATAACAACATGCTTACTCCATTTTAATGAAGCTAAAGGAAAACGCGATTGAAAAGAAAACCAGAAAGGCATTCTAAATAATAAACATTTGGTATAAAAGAAGTTAAAGTAATTTGCCACAGCCAAACCCATCATCTTTTACTAAGAAACAAATTAAGACTGAAATATCCAATATAATTACAGAAATTCCTCAATGTGTGCACTAATCGGGATGATTCATGATTATACTTATAGGTTGTATTTATAATTTTAGAATTAAGACAATCAAAACAGAATATAAACATTAGCTATAGATTTTGCTAAATGACTGGTGTGAAAGACTATATTCTCCTATGCAGAAATTCACAAATTGTGAAGAATTACTTAAGTATACCTCAAAATTTTGTTCCATTAAGTTGCCACCTTTACTCAGGCTCTCCATGATAGCTTTATTTCGAAGAATATCCTCCTCACTGAGATGTTCTCTTCTTTTCCTTGATTCTAATACAAGTCCATTAACCAAGTAGAAATCTGCCAAAAAGTTTCCCACTCTTT